TTGATTACCAGACTTTAGAATAAGTCACAAAAACGTGACAAGGCTGAACCACCTCAGACACATGACGCAAATGTGGTTGAGTTTAAGAAAAGGGGGAAAGGAAAGGGCTTTCCTCCAAAGGCTGCGATTCACAAAGTTGCAAATCAAGCCCCCTCGAACTTCAAGAAGCAAGCTCACGCTCCTAATAAGTTCTCTGGGAAGTGTAAGCACTGTAGCAAGATGGGACATCGTGCAACAGACTGCCGCATAAAGGCTAAGGGTGTTAATCAAGCCAACCAAACTCAAGCTGATCTGTGCGCAGTTGTAACATAAGCTAACATGGTTGAAGAAAACCCAAGGGCATGGTGGTATGGTACTAGCGCTACCACACATCAGCATTGATAGAGATATGTTCAACACCTATCAAAAGAGCAAAACTGATGAACATCTATTGATGGGAAACGTGTCCCACTCCAAGATTGAAGGTACCGGAAAGGTGGTGCTGAAGATGACATCAGAAAAAAAGAGATCACGCTCTCAAACGTGAAGCATGTTCCAGACATTAGGAAGAATTTGACCTCTGGCACGCTGCTCAGCATGCATGGATTTACAATCGATTTCGAATCTGACCAGCTGGTTCTTAGGAAGAATGGTGTTTTATTGGAAAAGGATTTTTTAATGATGGATTGGTCAAAATGTGTGTAATGACCACCCTCAATAAAAAAACGATGTATATATTTCCAAAAATGATAAGAATAAGAAACAAGTGGCTTATTTGGTTGAGTCTTCTAATATTTGGCATGAAAGATTAGGACACGTGAATTATAAATCTGTACAAAGGCTGATAAATTTGAACTTAATTCCCAAATGCAAAATTAGCAAAGACAAGTGTGAAAAACTCACAAAAACACCATCTCCTTGTTGAAAGAACAATTGAACCTCTTGGCTTAATCCATACTGATCTATGCGTTTTAAAGTATATACAAACAACGGGTGGTCAGAAGTACTTTGTGACTTTCATTGATGATTGCACAAGATATTATTACGTCTACTTACTGTGAGGCAAAGACAAAGTCTTGGACAAATTCAAAGAATACAAGCTCGAAGTAGAAAACCAACTCGGAAAAACCATTAAGATGGTTAGAAGTGATAAAGGAGGCGAGTATGATGGACCTTTCAACGCTTTCTGTCAAGAAAAAGGGATCATACATTAAACAACCGCTCCCTATTCACCAGAATCTAAGAGAGTTGCAAAGAGAAATAATTGCACTCTGAAAGAAATGATGAATGCAATGTTGCAGAAATCTGGGACATTCCAGAATCTGTGGGGGGGGAAGCGCTGCTCAACACAAACTACATCCTCAATAAAATTCCACACAAGATACCTTACAAAACGCCATATGAACTTTGGAAAAGAACTTTACCTTCGTACAAATACCTCAAAGTGTGGGGGTGCTTAGCAAAAGTCGCTGTGCCACCTCCTAAGAAGCTGACAATTGGACCTAAAACGGTTGAATGCATCTTCATCGGATATGCACATAATAGCAGTGCTTATTGATTCCTAGTACATAAGTCAGATGTACCAGACATCCATGTCAACAGGGTAATGGAGTCAAGGAATGTGTCTTTCTTTGAAAACATCTTTACATGCAAAGAGAAACAAAGTAAGAAACGCACTCATGATGAAAGAGACGCTAGCATCTCTGTTAATGAGGATAGCACTTCTGGAATTTCAGTTGATGAAGCAGAAGATGAAGAAGATGAACCTAGACGAAGCAAAAGAGTACGCAAGGAAAAATCTTTTGGTGATGATTTCTTAATGGTATTTCTCACAGAGAATGAGCCGGGATCATATACAGAAACCATGTCTACACCTGATGCATCATTCTGGAAAGAAGCAGTTAATAGTGAAACTGATTCTATAATGCAGAATCATACTTATGAGATCACTGATTTACCTCAAGGTTTCAAGGCACTAGGGTGTAGATGGATATTCAAAATCAAGTTAAAAACTGATGGTTCAATTGAAAAGTGCAAGGCCAGACTTGTGGTTCAAGGATTTAGACAAAAAGAAGGTCTAGACTTCTTCAATACCAATTCTCCAGTAACGAGAATAACTTCAATAAGAATTCTGATAGGAGTTGCAGCCATAAGAGGACTTGAAATCCATCAGATGGATGTAAAAATGGCCTTTCTAAACGGTGATCTAGAAGAGGAGATTTACATGAAGCAACCCGAAGGATTTATGATCCCGGGTCAAGAACACAAAGTCTGTACACTTGTGAAGTCATTGCATGGTCTGGAAACAAGCTCCAAAGCAATTACATAAAAAGTTTGACAATGTAATGATGTCTAATGGTTTCAGCATAAATGACTGTAATAATTGCAACTACATCAAATGTACTCTTCACGGGTATATATTGTTGTGTTTATACGTTGATGACATGCTTATAATGGGAAGTAACAACGATATCAATCAACAAACCAAGACAATGCTTAGTGGTCAGTTTGACATGAAAGACATGGGTCTTTCGGATGTTATCTTTGACATAAAGATTTCACGAACCTCTGAAGGCATCACTCTGTCTCAAGGTCATTATGCTGACTCGGACAGACCATATCGACTATGAACATCGATATACATGCTGATATCATCTCTTCTTATGGGTTGTATCGATGTCCCTTGGTCGATATGCACGTCGATATAGAAGGCTCCTAAGTTGTATCGGTTCGGCTCTCCATGGTGTGAAGTCGATACAATTGCTCTTTAGTTAAGGCTTATCAGTCAATCAAGTCGATATGGCACCTCGGTATTGTCATGTCATGTGCATCGGTCTGGGACGTCAATACACTGCTCGATATGGACTCCCTTCTGTTGAATCGAGGTGTCTCCTAGTCGATATGCTTCGTCTAACCACGTCTTCACTGTATTGATGCCGAAGTGGTCGATACTCCCATCGATATGCTCTTGTATCGATATTGATCCATCCGCCCCTTGCCTTGCTATATTCCTAGCTCACACCCGTTGCACCACATAGCCTCCATACTCCTTCTAGTACCTGAATAAAAATCCAAATGCATGCAAAATGCAATGCAGCTTCTAAAACTATACTAACTCCTAAATGTATGCAAATGGGACAAGGAGAAACAAAAAATACATGTTTAAAGACCAAAACTAGTGATGAATGCAAGATAAAATGGTACAAATAATGGAAATATCAAAAAGCTAGTTTTCCGGCCAAAGAAAGTTATTATTACATATTTATTGTCTTTCAAAATAATAATTGATTATTTATTCTAACTTTTTATAAAGCTTATAACAACTAATCAAACTCAGATGATGATAACAGTAAAGGAACTCGACAATAAGTTGAACTGTAGAAGCAACAGACGAGGAAGAATGGGATAAAAGGATCATTGAGTTTAGATACTACCAAGTTTTGTACCTATCAAAATTTAATGGCCACTATATTTTATGCCTACATAAGTTTTATTTTATCATAGATGTTCTCGAGTTTTGGTGTATTAAAATATTAAAACGTATGTTGCATGGAAACGAAAACAATTCGAAACGTGGAAAAGATATTAAAAAAAAATATAGAAAAAAAAATATTGTAGAAACGTATATTTTGATATATATATATAATATTAAGCATTAAACATCTAAATTATATTATAAGCAGAATATATAAATTAACAAAATCTAATATATAATTTTTAGATAATTATTAAATAATAAAAATTAAAATATATAAAGTCAAAAATTTAGAAGATTTTTTTTACTATAAAATTTATTAGTTCTATTGAACAAAACTATCTTTAATTCTAATTTATGGAGAGAATGATTTTCAAACTCAATAATACCAATATTATTTTTATTTACCAAATCAAAATAATTATTAACAAATTAATTATTAACTTACTATAAAGAATTAAATTGATCATTTAATCTCATTTTTATATTTATTTATTTATTCCAAAAAAAATATTAAATTTTATCTTTGTTTTTAAAATGGAAACGCGTGTTTTTAAAATGAAAACGCGTTTCCAAAGTCTTTCTAAACTAAAATTTTTAGAAAACACGATTTTTTATAAATTTGTGATTTGCCAGACTTATGTGTACATGTTAAATAAGAAACACAAAATTAAAATCTAATTCTAAATAATAATAATAAAAAATTAAATAATATACAAAAATAAAATAAAATACACTAATAAAGATAAATATACAATATAACGCGGGTATTCACCTAGTTTAATTTGAATTATTTAGATGTGAGGGTTAAAAATGACAAAATAGCATTGTATAAGTATAAAAAAGATCGATGAGTTTTATTTAGATAAATACTCCATTTTTCCTTGTATTTTTTCAGAAACATTGCATAAAATAGTTGAGGGTAATTACTCTTAACACTCGTCGAAGCCATATCTATATAAAAAAAACATAAAGTTAAATCAAGTCTTTCCCCAAATTAATGTCTAAAGCAACCCAATGATTCTTAATAATTCTGCTGCCACTATTTACAATCTGTTACTAAAAGAAATAACAATCACTAATAATAAAAATCACTAATCGATAAAAAACTAAATTTACCTTTCTCAAGTGCAATGGTCAAACGACACCGGCTGAAGGTCGGAGAAAACAAAACTTGGTGTAATAGGGATAGAGTAATAGTGACGCGAAATTAAGGCAGTGAAAGAACGGCGTATTCATAAGAAGAGTCAAATACTTACCAAAAAATAAATGGAGGCTCGTCAATTATTAGAGGCAATAGGCAGAGAGGAGTAGAACTGCCGTTCTTGCACCGCAATTGTTGAACAAAACTAGGGTTATTTTTTTGTCGATAATAGATCTAAAATATAATTAATTCCATTAAATTTTATTTTTGTGTTTAAAAATTACAAATTAAAACGAAGACTATTTGAAATGTTAAATTTAATGAAAATGGCAATAGATGTAATTACTATAGAAAATACTGGGTATTATGTCATTTATCATCATTTAATTAAATTGTTTTTATGGGATGCTAGTGTAGTAATTAAATGATAAATAAATGTCATTGTGAGTAATTTTCTTTTTATTTATTTCATTTTTTCTATTATTGTATTTTAGTACTTGATGATAGTCCATGGATTGCAATTCAATTTTAACAATTATAAGTGCAGATGCAGGTCGTGCTTGTTGTACTCACACACTCGCCTATTCCCTTCCACTTTGAAGAACAGTCAGCTGCACACGCCATGGATTCACAGTCTTCATCTTTTGTTATCATATTTTCACGACACAATTCTCCTTGTGTTTCTTTTGTCACCATTCCTAATATAAATATTTTAAAATAAAATATCAATTTCTTATATAAAAATGCAATGATGATGGACGAAAATAATGTGAAGAAAAATGAAGATACATGGAAAAATGTTTAATTTATTTTATCTATAAAGCAAACCTAAAACAAGGATGACTATGAAGATATACAGAGCAATTGATTTTGTCATTTTTGATGATCCAAAGAATGAAAATCTCAAAACAAAATGAAAATTAGTGTAATGATAGTAATGTACACGTAAACATCATATATACATATATAAGATATGATAAAATATCATAAACTCTAAATTAGGTAAAAAACAATAAGTAATTAAGTAGATGTTCTAAACAGAAACATATCTGTTTAAACAAATAAGAAATAATATATAAAAATTAACTATTACTGACAAAGATAAGAACGTAATAGAAAGCCAAATTGAAAAAATCCAAGAATAACTTATTAGTGTTGGAAAATATAGAAACAAAATCATAAAACTAATTACAAATAAAATGTTTTAGAGATTCTGAGCGCCTATTTTTAGTAATTTTAGATTGTGCTTAACATATTCACAATAAAGAGATTTTTAGTAGTTTTTAACTTTAGAAAAAAATCAAATACAAAAGATTTATTTATCTTTTATTTCCAGTAAGAAATAAATTCTTTACAGAATTAAAATTGTATAATTATTTTCAGTAATTATACTAAAGATAATTTTTGAAAAAATACATTTTGGTAATTTTATTATAAACATGATCTTTCTCAAAATGATCCATAAGAAAGGTTCATTGGTGTGCTATCAATCCGTCGTTAGTGTGCTAGTAATTTGCATTTAGTCTATTTTTATTCTGTCAGTAGTCTACGTTCAATTGTATGGCCAGTCAGACTGCAAGTACTCTGCATGTATTCTACTATTAATTTGCTAAGTAAAAAATAGTTAAAAAGGAAACACTGATATTTATAAAAAAAATGATTATTAAGATAATGATTGCACATTATTTTGTCATATAAGGTTATTTTAGAGCATTTTCTCAAAAAACTATTGAACTACTAGCAGGATGGGTATCTGAAAAGAGAGCACAAAGACTCTTTGGATGATCTATTGGGACAGCAATCCGATTTGTCAATCTTTTCTTCTAAGGAACAACATATCATAAGATTGATGAGGCCTTCCATAGTTTGTCCATTTAGCGTCCTTTTGACCATATCAACACCTTCAACGTGGTTTGTAGTACAACATGTGCTAGTGAATTTTCTACCGACAACTTCATGTACAAGTTTTTTACTTTCTCTATGTGTGACAAGACAACATATTACCGGAAGCTAGAACTGTTACAGTTGTGTGATGATCAGTCACAACTTTTTATATGCATAGAATTTTAACCAGATTTTATAATATTGTAAGTACATGATTAAGTCATTTGTAGCACAAAAGTGCGATCAAATCCATAAAGAGCCCTACTAACATATTAGGACTTAAGAAATCTAACACTTTTTTTTGTCAATAACCTCTTCTCTTAGAACAGTTTAGAAATCCAAATCAATGGAGTTGAGTTATATAATGTAAAGAATATAGGTAGTCGCGAACACTCTGTGCCAACTTATCTGTTTTTGTGTTTTGAGCGGGTGAGATATGCGAGATTGAGAAGGAAGTAAAGTCTCAAATTTCTCCAAGTGTAGAGAGAAGACCGGCCATTCATCGGGTTTGACACCATCTTCACCAATTCGGAATAATCTGTGATGAAAGCCATCATTAATCTTCCAGCAACGAGCATACAATGCATTGCCCATATCAATGCTTCTAATTCTTTGTGTAATGGAGAAATGCTTCACCGTACATTTTTTACCCCCTTCAGCGTAGTTTATGGGCTTAAACCTTAACAATACCATCCTAGCCCAACATGACCCACCGTCGCTTTCCATGATCCATCGGTTTGACGTGTTAAGCTACCATATACCATCTAATTTTTCACCTTGAACATCATCCTGTTGAGGAAAAACCATGCTACCGATTCTGCTTGTGCAGTTTTTAAAACATCCCTTGGATCTCTATCTATCCCTTGGAACTCTATCTATGTTTGAGTATATTTTATCATTTCGTGTTTTCTAAATATACCCAAGTAACCATGGGAACACTTTTATATCTTCCGAGTTTGATAGTTGCAAAAAAAAATGAGCTATATTTGTATATAATTCTGCCATTGGAAATCCCACTAATGGTGTTGCTATCACTGAGAGTGCCCACACTTGTTTCGCTGGCGAACATTCAAATAGTGTGTGATTAATAGTCCCCCTCTCCGCTTCACATCTACCCCATTGTGGATCACAATTAATACTTATTTCAGGTTGCGTCTCGGTCTTTGACCAGACATTTAATACCCCATTGCTAGAGGAAGTGTTTCATCTTAGGCAGACATCTGACCTTCCATGCATTATTTTGTAATTTAGTAATGTCTGGTATGTAATAAGGGTTTAGGGAACAATTATTTGGAAATTTCTGCTCGGGATTATATTATAATTTAACCGAATATCGTCCCATTTTTGTTTAGTACCAAATATGTAAATCTGGCTTTTCTGTCGTTGTAGTTGGAATTCCAGTGATGTATGGAGTATCCTCTTAGACAAGAATCTGCTTAATTAGCGGTATCTTCTAGGTTTTAGTAGTTGAATCAATGAGGTCTTTAATTTTTAGGTCAGGGTATAAATTATACCCCTGACATATCGCTGATCTAGCGCAAGTAGCCAGTAACCATGGATCATTCCATACAGATATAGAACTTCCGGATCTGACTCTTTTAATAACCCCTTTTCTAACCAGAGATCAAGCCGATATAATACTCTGCCAACCATAAAATGCTGAGTATAAGTGAATTGGACCCAAAGGACCTCCATTGCGATAATAATGTCCTTTGAACAACAAACAACGACTCGGGATGGTCAATAAGCCTCTATAACTGTTTAGCCAGTAAAGCCGTATTAAAATCTTTAATTATTTTGAAATCGAGTCTGCCATCCATCTTGTGTTTACACAAAAATTTTCCATGCCACCCAATGCATGCCCATGGTATGTCCGTTCGTGCTCCACAGGAATTGAGCTACCATACTTTTGTCAGTTTGTTTTATAGTTTGCGGTAGAAGGAAACACGACATGGCATATGTAGGTGTCGTTGAGCCAGCTGATTTTATCATAACCTCTCTCCCTGCCTCAGAGAGAAATTTTAAAGTCCATCCATTTATCCATTTTTTCTGCTGATTAACTAGAAAACTGAAAATCTTTGTTTTAAAGCCACCTAAACTCTTTGGGGTTCCTAAGTAATTTCCCATCCACCCCACCCCCCCCCCCCCCCCCCCCCCCCCCCCCCCCTCCCCCCCACTGTTCAGAATTCCTAAAGTTTGGTGGACCACCTCCTTAGTTAAGGGATCCACTGTGTGGCAAAATTATACCGATGATTTGGTAAAGTTTATATATTGGCCCGATACTAACTCATATTGATTTAGAATACTAAGTACCCTATCCGTTTATTCTTTTACAGCCTTGAAAAAAATAGGCTATCGTCTGCAAAAAAATATATGCGTAATTGGTGGGCATGCACGTGCTACCTTTATCCTTGCGATAAGATTCATATATTATAAGGGATCTCCCTGTTCGAGTCCTCGTTTCGGTACAATGTGTCCTTTAGCATGGCCATTAATAAGTACCTTATATTGCACTGATAGTATGCTCCGCATTATCCATGTGATCCATTTTTTGAAGAATCCCATTTTTCCAAAGAAAGTGCTTTATAAAAGACCATTCATTGCAAATCATATGTCTTGCTCATGTCTGTCTTAACTGCCATATAATTGCTCTTGCGTGATTTATTCATATGTAAGCAGTGAAACATCTCTTGTGCAATTGAAATTTTATCTCAGATAAGCCGCCCAACTACAAAGGCCGAATGTGTCTTAGAAACTAGTATGGGTAGCATCCTACGTAACCATTGACACAATACTATTGAAATTATTTTATAGCCTACATTACATAAGCTAATTAGTCGTATTTCCGCCATTCGCGTGGGTTCCTCTGTTTTCAGGATGAGATAAAAATTTGTCACATTTAATCTCCGACCCAAAACCCCTGTGATTAAAAAATTATTCACCCTTTGTACCACCTCACACTTTATTATTGGCCATGATTATTGATAAAAAAGCGTTGTCATCCCATCTGGTCCTGGTGCATTCTCGCGATGCATCACAAACAGAGTGGTGCGAACATCCTCCTCTGTTACTGGTCGTGTTAAGATATCATTATCTGTCTCTAAGACCTCTTCCTTTATTTTGTCTAGTTTCTCCGCAAAACTTTCGGGTGATGTGGAAATAAATAATTCACCAAAATAATCGACAACTACTTTTTCTAGATTCCTTTACTATGTCACCCAAACTTCAGCATCATTATATAATACTACCAGTCTGTTTATTGTTCTTTGGTGCTTTGTCGTGATAGAATTTAATATTGGGATCACCACTCCGGTTCCACAGATTCCTGGTTTTTTGTTGCCAATAAACCCCCCCCCCCCCCCCCCCCCCCCCCCCCCCCCCCCCCCCCCTCCCCCTGGTTTTATCTCGTCCATATAGCCTGTTATCTTGAAGCCATTTTGTAATTTCATGACGGTAATTCAAAATCTTATCCATTATTCATCCCCGACAACCGATGCTACCCAATCTCAATAAATTCCATAAATTCATCTTTCCCAAACCACCTCTTATCAAACTGAAATTGTTTTCATCAATTATAATTTTGAGCATGTATTGTAGGCTCAACCGGTTGATGATCTGAACCCAGCATTCTAAGATACTCTACATAAGATTACATATATATATATCATGCCTATCTTTCTTTGCTAAGATTATGTCAGAGTCAGCAATGTATAGTTTTTCTACTTCACCGTCCTTGCCAGGAGAGTTTATTCCTCCAATTTGGAAAATAGATTAGCCCACAATTATTAATTATTGAGTTAAAATCTACAAATATAGATTGGTTTCGTAAATTTCTACCTTTTTTTCATGCTTTCTAGTAGTTTCATTAAAACCTTCGATAAAATCTAGGGTTCCGCAAGATGAAAATTTATGACACCAGTCTACATTTGTAGATTTGTAGAAATCTACCTTAAACACAATCAATAAATTAAGGGTTTTGGTTTGGGTTAATTCCTAAAAGAACCACAAAAAAAAAAAAAAAAAAAACTGAATTAAGCAGTAAATGA